AATTTAAGGTCTGCTATAAAATCACAAGACTCTTATTTAGTTTTGCTAACCCCTCATATTATGGAAAGGCTGAGGTCTCAGTCCTATGTACACATTTTAGGAATAAATCCTGCTGAACTTGAATTCTTAAGTTCAGAAAAAGTCAGGTGTTACATTAAGACCCAACAGATTTATTACCGCATATTTTTTTGTAGCTGAGAGTCCATTGCTTAGATGCATGATATGCTAATTTCAATTGGCAGAATACCAGAGGAGTAGTGGACATGTTGTACACCTAGGAGAGATGAATAACAATGTGCAAAAACTGCAGTGTGTGTTCCTGTCAGTTTACTTCACATGTGTTTTAGGCTTTCATAATCTGGAGGTTTTTTGATCATTTGACTCTGGTATACAGCTCTACTCTCACTCCATTCTTGTATGTTTATTCTTGTCAATTGAAGAAGGTAATAGTTTGGATGCCAAAATACATTATCCCACAATAAAGTAGTCTCTAAAAATTTATGTGTCGATGGGACCTCAGGGACTGTCATATTATCTTCTGTCCTGTAGGCCCTTTAAGAATGTAACTTCTCTTAAGATGAAACCTGTCCTCCAATTGTCCTTTCTAATTAGCACTTCCTAGAAGCTGGATCCATGGCCAGTTGTTGGTGTCAAATTATAGTTAGTGATTCTTAGTCCTAGGGAAGCTACAGATTAGGCTGAAAGACTTCAAAAGACAAAACATAGGTAAATGGGCAATATACATAGTGCCATTAATTGTTGAATTAATTATATGTTCAGGTCTGGTTGCAAAGTCTTTGTTCAGAACTTGTTCTTGAGTCTTTGCTATAACACAGTAACAAGGTTGAAGTTTCCCCAGCAAACATCATAGGACTGGTCTATAAATTAAGCAGGGGAGACAGTAATGAAAAGTAATACAAACAACTTGCTAAGAACCACAGTGTTGATCAGACCTTTTTAGAAGCCGAGAGGTACGAAATTTAGATCAATTCTTAAAATAGAGAAGCATTTTGTCTTAAGTGCAATCTTCCTGTAACCGCTTTCTCATAAAAGTCAAGAACTGCAAAATGTGAGAAGTTTCTGGAGTATTTTCATTTCCACTTTCAGCGATTCCACATGTTTCTATGTGAAGATAACATAGAACAAATGAACCTAACGGCAAATGTTATTTGATGATACACTTGAAGCAGACGAGCATGGTATAAATAAACTTTACAAATCAATTTAAAGTAATCTTTCTGGGATCTTATAAGGGAAGAGAGTGCTAAGACAATCAGAAAGTCATTTTTTCTAGAACTTAATGATTTTAGAGCGTTGGTTCATTCCCCCACCCCTCCTATGCGATCTACACTTTAGAAAATATCTCAGACATGATAGTCTTATTCTCATGCAGCTAGATTTAACCCTAGCTTTTGTAAGCTTTTCAATCAATCAAAATTATTATTGACTCTTTATAAAAATATTAGCTGATCAGGTCTTTTCCCTCCATTTTTTTTTTATCATTGCCTACGTTGGCTGGAGCTTTTGGGAGTTGTTCAAGAGGATCTGAAGGATCACAGGATCCCAAAGTTAACTAATGATTTAGCACCTGCTGGTCCACAGTATTACCAGTGTCTGTCTTTCTATCTATATATCCAGTGCTTTTTTTGTTAAAAAAAAAAAAATGTCGGAACTCACACACATCATACAACCTGCCTTGCCTACCCTATAAGGTTCCATCCAAAAAAATGTGCCGGAAGTCTGTTCTGGGCATTCTATGACAAAAAAAGCCCTGTATATATCCATCCATCCTATGTGAAAGTAACCATTGTAGAAATTATACTTTATATCTTAGCATTATATGTGAATCAGGCCAATTGTGGCTTATTTATGTATATTAAACATTATTTTGTTTTGGCTGGGATCTAAGCTCTTTTCTTTTACAGCTTGCATCTTTCCCTGATCCTTGGGGATTAATTTCTCAGTTATCCCTCCTTAGACTGTCTAAAACAGTGGTTCTCAACCTTTTTAATGCCGCGACCCCCAACCGTTCATAAGTCGAGGACTACTCAACCGGTCGTAAGTCGAGGACTACTCAACTGGTGCAGCATCGTTTGCAGAATGGGACTTTTGGCGGGTTCAGCAGGGCAGAGACAGCATGGACAATTCCTATTGGCTTTTGAAAGCCAATAGAATTAGGCTCTATTCAAGAGAATAAAAGGGGAGTAGCACAGCTAAGGAAAAGGGAGGAAAAAATGGCGGACTGCGTTGTTTGGCGACCCCCGTGAAATGGTCGTTCAACCCCAAATGGGGTCCCGACCCACAGGTTGAGAATCACTTGTCTAAAATGTATGCCTTACACTCCTATCCACACCCTCTCCAGATTTACTTCCTTCTGGAACACTGTTATTCACACTATTTTCAGGGGTATCCAAGAAAGGCTTTCCAATTTCTAATCTTCTCCCTGGATAAATAATTAAATAGATTTTTAAATAATTTTCTAAATTGCATTGGGTTGTATAATATCTTCATTCTTTGTATTTTCATGGGCTTCACAGATTAAATAAGAACTATCTCCACTTTAAAACTGAAAAGGGGAGGGGGAATTTTGCAAAACTTTATTTATGTTGGTCTTTATGATTTCTGGTCTTACTGGTTTTATGGGATTTTTTAGGACTTTTTTAGGCTGGACCTTGGAATAGTCTGACCACCAATTTTATTAGAAAGGTGACTAGTATGATGTATTAGTGGTGTTTGTCCTTCTTTCATTCCTGAGACCACACACACACACACACACACACACACACACACACACACACACACAATATATATATTTGTGAAGTTTACTAGATTAGCTAGCAAACAATATTCAGTGAATTCAGTCTGACTTGGAAAAGGACCCACAAGCTTAAAAGAAGAGACCCCCTTCTGGACTTTACACAAAGTTATGTTAGGGAAGTTATGTTGGGGAAAGAGCAGCATCTAAATGGGGGGAAATAGCATCTAAATGAATTCTTCTTGGCTCTTGATTTCAAAGGAATTTACCTGATAGAAAAAAGGAAGCAACTTTAATCCTGTTTTGTGGGCTCATTTTTTAAGCATTATGCTTAAAAATATTCCTGGAGACTTGTAGACAGAAATCCAGGAAAAGGTCTGAAGTCTTCATCTGAAGCCTTTTCTCCTTGCAGAAGCTCACCTCTATTCACCCACTGGCATATGTGGCTGGAGAGAGAGGATTCCACTAGCTGGCTTCCTTTCAAAGCAGCTCATTCGATATGGAGTTACTTTTGTAAAGGGAGAAATTAGCTGTTTGGCTGCTAATTGGTCCAAGGGCCAGAGGTCACATGAGGCCTGCCTGGAATGCTGTATACTGGCGGTCAATTAGTAGGCCACAGATGTTAAGGTATTGAATGTGTTGACCCTTAGGGCCTGCCTGTGACAAGGATTACCTTTCCCACTATGAACCTGTCCAGCTCTTTGGCTGACCCTTTTTGAAGATGCCTCTGCTGTCATAAGTTCAACCACTGGCCTGCAGGTCGCTGAGCATTCTCAGAACACAAAGGCTAAGGACACCCTTTAGCTGGGGAGCAATGCAAGGGAAGACCATTTCCCAAGGGCTGGTGTTAGTATTCCTGCCATGTCCTTAATCATTTGTACTGTCTTTTTGAATTCTGTTAGCTTCTCCAAGTGCTCTTTTGAGGAGAAAAACAAGGCATCATTCAAACCAAGCAAATAAAGATGTACAGCCTTTGGGAGAGGGCCTGCTGGTACTGTGGAAGAGTCCCGCTTGGCTAGGACAGCTGAGGGAACATTCTGTTTTGGGGAGGGGGAAAGGAACAATGTCAGACTGATGTCGTACCCAACTTGTCATGTGGCTGACAGAAACAATTAGGCTGAAGAACATGATAAAGCCAGACAACAACAAAACAGAGCCAAACCTTAGTTGCCTAATTCACAAAAAATTGCCTCAGTCTCAGTTTTTGAATCCAAACAAATTGGACAATGTGTTTTGTGCAGACTGGAAGTGGTGGAAATTGTAGGGGGAAATAAGTTCATTCCATGATCAAATCTCTTAGACCACAAGCAATCCCTAGTATAAAAGCTAGATCTCTTTACCCTCACTTGGAGATGAGGAACCACATTCTTCAACATCAACAAATATTTATCATACTGCCTGGGTGATCTCCTTTTGCTAAGAGGCCAGAGTTGCATTATGGTTTAGCTTAATGTATGATCTAACCACAATGTGTATTTATAGTGCAGTAATAGATGGAGGGATTGCAGTGATTAATATTGCATCCAGTTTATCACTATGCTGGAATACCCACTGATGCCTTCTCTGGAGCTATGAGCAACTACTCTTGATAGAAACATTTTATCTCAAAATGGGTGCCTGTTTTCCTTATCCCTCCTCTTCCTTTTTTCCTTTAAAATTTCTGAATAAGAGAATCATTTTATTTTTTTACTGATTTTTAAGCATCCTTGGAACCAGTCTTAGAGTACTCTTTTTGTCTAAAGAGTAGCAGTGAAATGCTGGAACTCTGGTTCAAGAACATCCCTAACCCCAAAAACCTTGGAGGGTGTGGCTCGAAGCCTCAAAGAGTTATCAGATGGAAATTTTAAACAAAAGATAAATATTATTAAATATGTGACTGGTAGTATCATATTAGCTAGGTTTAATTTAATCACATATAAATGTAAATAAAATCTAATCAAATAAGGTGGGGTTTCTTTTTTTTTTGCTCTCTGTGTAGGGGAGAGTCCAAAGGACATCCAGAAACCACCCCTATACTCAATAACTGGAGCTGAACTGAAATGCCTGCAACCTCCCACATTTCAGTCAGAAGCTGGTTTGAAATGCTGCTTCTACATCAGCCGGCTGTTCCCCCTCTTTTCTTTCCAGTTTGTTTTTGCTGGCAGCCCAGCTGGATAAAGAGAAATGGCGAGCTTGAAGGCTTGCATCTTCTTTTCTGTTCTAAGAAAAGACCAAGACTGATGTGGATTGTTGTGTTCTGTTCTAGGTAATAAAGCAAGTCAAAACTACAAAAACAAAACAACCCATATGACTGTTTAATCATCAGAGCTCTCTGGGTCAAGGTAAAATAACAGAACTGCAGTTGAATTCATTGTGCCATGTGCCTTGCTGGGGAAGCAAAACACAGCTGAACTATGGAGATACAGACATGTTTTTTTTTTTTTTTAAGGACAAAACTCACATCCTCACTTGACCCCCCCCCTGCAAATATGGAAGGCAGAAAGTCTTATCCGGAAACTGTTGCCAAGATCTCCTCCTGCTAATTCTGCCTTTGGTTGTGTCTTAACTAGCTTGCATTGAAAGGAAATTGAAAACATCGTCTTTTGAGAGTCCTGTGGGCTGCATTTGGACCAATTTCTCCTTCCCACTCTCAAAGACGACACAACTCATACAGCTGCTCCCGTGTCTCTGTTCTGCTTTTGTGTTTGCCTTTCGTTAGAAACATCATCCAGATGGCTCCTTTTCCCATTCCCCTCTCTTGCTAATGAGGGGGGTGGGTTTAGAGCAGGGCTGCAAAAAATCCCTGCAAAAATATAAAATGGCAGCAGAGTTAGAATTGTTAGAATCTCTTTTTTGTGGCCAGCTAATATGGTGTCCAGATTTTTGCAGCTCAGGTCTGAGAACCATAACAAAGTAAACCACTAGTGAGATTTCTCATTTTCTAAGAGAGGTTTGTATCTTGGGTTGGAGAGTCCAACTGTGGCTTCAAATACCAGAAAGTGTATTTTGGGGTAAAAGGTTTTAGCAATAACTCTCAAACTTTTGTTCACACCTTCCAAATATGCTTCCATTGTCCTAATTTTATTTAACACAATTCTTCCTCATAGCTAGATGGATGCTTCTAACATCCAATTTTAATTTTCATATGCTGAAGAAGTTATACTTGCCTTATACAATAACATAGATATGTCACGGTATATTTATCAATCCAAGTACAGCAGCTGAAAGCAAGGGAAAGCATATAATGGCACATTATCTTCATTACTGACCTTGGGGAAAATTATGCATAGGAGTGGGAGAGAGAAAGCATCTCCCAGGTGGCTGAGATGGTTTTGTCCTGCAGAGAGCTGAAACCTAATAACAGTTTTATTTTCTCTCCTCAGGGAGGACAGCTGAAGAGTATTCACAAGAGTTCCTCAGCTGAGACCTCATAATGGCTTAACTCAGCAGTGGTAGCTTCTAGTGGAGATAATCTCTACAGAACAAAGGGATTCCAACCGATCTGTGGGAGGACATTGACTGATTTTGGGGACTGATCAGGATCAGACCTGGGTGGGACATCACCTGGAAATTTTGGCTAGATTTTGAAGTCTCTTTCCCCCCTCCCCTTCAAAAAAAGAAAGAAAGAAAGAAAAAACCCACAGAGTGATAGTGGCAATAATTTCCATACTGTTGTCAAGAAAATGTCTTGTAATCCTTTACCAGGATATAAGCTTGGCTCAAGGAACCTTTACTTTCAGTAGTAGCAGCTAACATTGTACACCTATTTTTAATATTAATAGAAACCCCTACTCCATCTACACCCACCCTCTTTTTATATCACTGTGCTTCCATAATGCAATTACATAACAATTAATAGACAATTCAATATTCATGCAAACACTGAGGCATAAAGTAGCAGGATGATAGATCTAGCAGAACTATGCTGGAAAAAGCCAAGGAATTTCGTGACAGAAGCAGAGATACGGAAAACCCTAATTTTTTGTTTCCCTCTAGTGGTCAAGTGAGATCTGGTAACCCTAGAGAACATAACTTGTGAGTTGTTAATTTGGGAAAAGAGGAACAGTAAAATGCATCTCGCATATTTCTTCTCCTGAATCCTCCGATGTTCAGCTGATTTGTGACTTTATGGTAGCCTTCTAAAAACAATTTGTACAGTGTAATGGACAACATCTGAAATATATTTACATAGGACTTATCTGAAAAAAGGAGATAAATAGATAATTGATCAGCTCTTGCCAGTGCTGATCACCTATTGAGGCGGAAGAGTGGAATATTTGATTTTAGACGTTCTTGGCAGATTTGCTCACTGATGCAAAATGCTGATACCCAATAGGATGTCAGTAATGTTTAATCTTGATCTTCGTAGAACACTCTCTGTCATATTATATTGGAAATTGACCAAAAGTTCAATATCCATATTTTAATATAGGCTTTTTGCAACAAACAGCATTATCCTGGAAAACAACTGAAAATATAAATGCATGGATTTATTCATGTAAGTCATCAGGAGCTGAGCTCCATTTAAAGACAATTTTGCTTACTCCTGTTATATTGTTTTAATTTATATCATCTGTTTGCATTTCATGTATATTTTTCTAGTGGCTTACAAATTCTGTTCTAGGGAATGGTGGGTTCTTTGAGGATTAATCAGATAGTCCTCAAGGATATATTCAGTATAAGTAGTGTTCAATTTACAACCACAATTGGGATTAGAATTTCCAATTGTTAAGCACCCAAATTTTGATCAAATGACCATATGGATGCTCTGACACTTATAACTGCAAGGACTCATTTTTTTCTGTGCCACTGTAACTTCGAACTAACTGCAAAAAAAAAAAAAAAATCTAGAAATTGTAATACTGCAAAAAAAATCTAGAACATCATGTTTGGGTGCTGTTTGTTTTCTGCAGTACTCTAGCCCTAAGGTTCATAAGTGTTATCATGAAGTCTAGATGCATCCATATAAACAGAACATATACATCAGACCATGTCAAAATAGGTGCAGCAGTGTAGAAACTTAAACTGATGTGCCTAGATAGAACTCCTTGGCAGAAATTTTGTAACTAGAGAGTTGTAGTCCAATGAATTTGGAGAGCATTAGATTAAGGAAGGATGTTTCTGAGTATTAATTCAGAGCATATAAGATATTGCAATGGTTATTTACATATGTTGCTTTGTCATTAGGGAACTGACCTCAAAAGTAGCAAACAAGTACACTTATTGGGGATAATTGCAGGCAATGAATTTCAGTTACATAGACACACTTCCATAATTTCCTTTCTGTACACAGCTTGCCTGCACAACTAGTATCGTCTTAAAATGCTGCCTTGAATTGTGGAAAGTCCTAAAAAAAAGATATGGAGTCCTTAAAAAAGATATTCAAGAACAGATAGTATTAAGAATGATTCTTCATTGTTCCAAGATTCCATGAGAAGATCAGAATGCCAATGGATAGGCAAGGAAGGGATACTCCTATACTCCTGAAAGGTTTGTATTAATTCTTGAAAAAAAAAAAAGAGCTCACTTTCCAGCCACAAATATTTTTGGAAAAAAAAAAAAGACTTTGAAACATCTGACTTACAGTAACCTTCTGAAGGGCTGGAACATTTCCATGGCAACTCAGACAAGATGAAAATGGCTATTAGTTCTTCATCTGCCTGAAAATCTTGAGTCAAATGGAGCTCAGCCAGGTCTTGTGGAGAGCTCAGTAATTGAGCCAGTTCTATCCTCTGTAGTGCCAAATAGAAAATTTCAGGTTGATCATCTCAACTTTAGAATTTCCAAGGTGATGTTATTTGTCTCCATTTAAGCCAGATTCTTGATGTTCTGTTAATTCCATTATTATGTGCATGGATAATACATTTCTTGTGCCAAACCATATATTGTGGAACTAACATCTCATAAAATTGTCTTCCGGTTTTGAAATGAATAGCATTCATTCAGCAGATGGGAGTAAGGTCTAAAGAGTTCCTGAAAGCTGTTATTTTCCCAGGGAAGATAATAAAACAGTCTATTTGAAAAAAAAAGTAATTAATAATTGCAACACATATCATATGGTGTAATGATTTGCAGAGCATCTTCTCCATTATTTCTGGCCATCTAGAATCCCTTGAGCATTATCTTCGTTCTTCTCCGCCTCCTTGACATCACTGAAGATAACCAGCAATGGGTGTTTTCTTTCCACAGACCTGAAACTGGACAGATTTCTTTTAGCTTCCCTCACAATGTAACAGGTTTCTTAGTTATCCTTTTATGATTCAGCTGTTGGCCTCAGCCACTTGCAAGTCCTCCCCACCACCACTGACTTTGTGCTTGTTTCCATGGCTACATTGCTGAGCTTTTAAATTGTTCATATTGTTCTGACAAGAGAATATTTAAGCTGTGACACAGAAAAAAAATAGTTTAATCCACAATTTAGTCTGGTGTTCCTATATATCCTCTACCCTCCCACCATCACAAGGTGAGGCGGGCCCTCACTCTCCTGGCCTTTCGTAGATGCTTGAAGACTTGGCTCTGCTGACTTGCTAGGGCCCACAGAAGAGCGTGCCGTTGTGGGGCTGGTTAGCATCCTGAAGCCCCTTCCACACCTTTGAAATTTGAATTATTTTATTCTTATTTTTAACTGTTTTTTAATGTGATTATTTATATATGGCTTTTGTTTTTATGTTTATTTGTACACCACCCAGAGTTGCTCTATGAGGGAGCTGGGTGGTTTCTAAATATGATATATAAATAAAATATTTGTGACAGGCAGTCTTGCAAAGACTACGAAGCATGAACACCCAATAAACAGACCCACAGATGCACCTTGCATCACTTTTTATGCTGTAGTAATAGCTGGTGCTCATCTAGTCTACTGCAGTTCTCTCCATTAGCCTTGCTAAATGGGATTCTGGATTGGTAGTAGGGTGGCCCTCCTTAGTGACAATTAGCAGACTGATCCTCCACAATTATTGAAACATGATGTGCATAAGGATTGAAGATCCCATTTTTCTATTTTTACTGTTTTCTCCCCCTCCCTTTGGTTGCCTTGATTGAACTTTAGCAAGGATCTATCTAAGATTCTGTCTTCGGTTTGGGTTGCTCTATATAAGTCTGTGATGACCAAATGCAAATTTTTCATTTGGACTGTTTGCATCTTGGTAGGAAAAAAAAAAGTAAAAATTTTGCATTCTCATTATGAAGAGCAAATGTGTCTTTGGTTTCAAACAAGATGCCCGAGGAGGTGCATTTCCCTCAGGAGTCACCACGATGTTTCCACATGTATGTGTGAATGTCAGGATGTTTATTCAGAAACAGCACCCACTGAGTTCAAATTGAATTTGACAGCCATCTGGACATCACTGAACAAACACACAAATGTGTTGTCTGTCTTGATTTGGTCAGAGCATAGCGCAAATGTTAAACACCTGTTGGTTCATTTACATTACCAATGCTGCTGTTCCGGAAAGTTGCAGGAATAGTGTCAACATCATTGAGGAAGGAAAATAGTTTTGTCGCTTTGCTTAGTCTGTAGTATTTATGCAATATCCACACAATTACAGCTTTGAACATTATCAAGAACAATAATGACTTCAAGAGAGGTTTCACAGTATATATTTTGTTAAGGTTTTCAAAAAATGTCAGTAATCCACACCAGTGCACTTCAAATACTTGCCAATACTTGTTGTTTTCAGCCTTATTGCAGACCATCAGACTCTTAAACACAGGAAGAAGACAGAGGCTGCAAGGTCCAGGAAACAATTCATCTGAAAGAGGTTATCACTCAGAAAAGAGCTATACAGTGTGGGATTAACTTTTTTGCATTATTTTATTTTAAGTGATTTATATGGCTCTCCGTGTCACAACACTCACTCTTCCAGGTTTCATAGCAGTGACTGGCAGAAAAGGATGATGGGTTGCAGCCTAGGAGGAGGGGGGGAAGGAAGGGGAGGAGGAGGAGACCCCCTGCTTAATAGGATGATGTAGTCAAAAGCTCGCTTAGAAACGTGTTGAAAATTGCCATTTTGAGACAAGTCTGTAAAACACCCTAAAATAGTTTTCATGTAGCATAGCCTGACTCTCCAAAACTTCAAAACCTTAATTGGGCTTTAAAGGATATGCAGTACCGAATGGGACCATTATGTCTGGCTTCAGGGCTTACCATCCACCTAGATGTTGTTTTTGTTATTATCGACAACTAATTGTGACTTGGTTCATTAGCAACAGTGGGTTGGAATTTGTTTATGACTAAATTAAATATTTCTCCTTTCAGTGCAGCAGTTACGTGCATGGTTTATTCAGAGATCCTAAGGGACTTATATGTGAATAACAGATCAGAAGTGTTGGCATCCTTAAACATTTTTACAGAAGAAAAATCTAAGTGCTAAAAAATATGGAATGGGCAACTTACTACTTTTCTTGCTTCCTTCTACATTTCCCAAATGGTTCTTATCTACAGTTCCCCCCCCCTCCACTGGAGTTAGAAATGCTAGGGCAAATAGGCACACATACTTTTTAAGTATCTTCGACTACAATTCTTTGCCAACATATTAAATACATAAGGAGTGTGGGTACTATAATCCAGCACATCTGCCAGAAACAGGAATAGCAGGTCAAGAGTAAGTTTGGAACTGTAGAACAGAGGTAGGCAGCTATGCTCACTTTACAACCTATTGACTTCAACTCCCAGAATTCCAGAGCCAGCATGACCAGCTCATAAATTCAGTCATAAAGGGGCCATCATTGCCTATCTCTTCCCTAGAGAGATCCTTGGGGGATGAGGTAGACTAGAGAAAAGGTTTTTGGGGAAAGGGTTAAGCATCCTGCCTCTTTAAGTCTTCCCAGACCTCTCCCTCAAAGCCATTTTTTTTCTTTTTGGAAAAGCAGTAACCAGTGTTTTGCTACCCACAATTGCATGAAAGCAATAAAGAAGCAATCACTCTTCTAGGGATGTTCCTCAAGCAGTGTTGATTGAATGAAGAGGAAAGGCAGGAAGCTTAGAGCAGGGGCCTTGGGTAGAAGGAAGAAGCCAGGAGGCTTTTAATTCTTCCAGATCATTGTTTTGGCATTGCCATAAGCAGTGAGAATTCAATGATCTGGTCTGTCTAGATTGCTGGTCAAATTAACCAATGGGCTGCTGGCAGTGATAATGGCAAAAAGAAAGGAGAAAGACCAACGCTTGAAGTTCCAGCTGCTCAAAAGTCCAGTGAGTGACAGGAACAGGACTTTGGCCTTGGTGTCCTGACCAATTTCAATTGAATCAGGTTGGCATAATATTATTTTAATATAACGAGTCTTGCTTTTTCATTTATGTAATATTCAGCAAAAGAAACAATTACCATGACAACAACTTTTTCTTCTGGCACCTATCTAGGAGAACATGCAATCGAACAAGCTTCCCACACAATGTCACAAATTTGCACATTGTAAGCGTCTGCATTAATACATGTAAAAGGAAATACTGTAGTTCAAAGAGTTTACACGTTCTCATATTACAATGTTTTCAAACCCATAAATACATCTTCCCTTCTTTTTCCATGGTTCATCTCCACCCTGCTGAAATCTTGACAGTGGTTTGTGCCACCCCCCCCCATATCTCCAACTACAAATTCCATACTATGCAACATATATTCAGGGAGATTCCCATCTTGTACTATTTTAAATGCATAAATATTTAAGCTGAAATTGAACATTTTAAGTAAAATGGCTTGGGGCAAGACACTTTCCACCATTTGCATTATGCTATTGTTGACCCTTTAAAGGAAAATGTGGAGGTGCACATGAAATGCAATTTTTAACTTGTATCCATAATACCAGCTGCTGAAACAATCCATGCATGGTCCTTCTGTTTTCATCCATGTTCTGTTGCATAGGGGTATTTAAGAAACATCGACTAATTAGGAGAAATAAAAATGGAGCTGATGACATTTGGTAGCACTGATGCAGACATTAAATTCAGGTTTCCCATATAATAGTCAGCAAAAAGATGGTGACCCAAAATAAAGTGTTTTAGACCTTCCAGTGCTAACTTTTAATGTACAGTTTGACCCAGATAATTGCCTGAACACAAGGATTTCTTTTTTTAATGCAAGATTTATTTGGAAAGAGAAAGAGTGTATGCCTGCGAAGAGGGTCTTGGTGAGCTGGGAACTCAAGACTTTACTAGGGCATATTTGTAGCTTCTTGGAGTTTATTAGCTTTATTTCTGAGTGTTATCAAACATTAATTAGGTTTTTTTCCCCCATTCAGGACCAGACTGGTTGCTGAACTTTAATGATGCTTTTAATCACAAAATATTTAATATACCTTTGCTCCCCAATAAGATTTCAGATAAGCTAATTATATTTGGACTTTTTGGGGGGTCTTAAGTTATCTTTTCCTAAATTACCAGCATGATTGAATCTACTTGGAAAGAGGGTTCTACAACAATTTTTACGAAACATTTCTATACTCTCTAGCATCTGTAGGAAGAGTCTTTATGCTTGATCAGAATTCAGATATTATAGAGTCAGGCTGGTGTTATTTGCTTTATTTTCCAAACTGCTATTAGTTTCTCTTTATATCATCTAACTTAAAATAATTTTTATAGTTTAAAGTCTTGAACTGCAGAAATATTCTGGACCTATGCATTTCCCTCTTTGAACAGTACTTTTTGCTTCTGATTGAGTGTCTGACGCTGACCAGAGATGCATGATTTGGTACACAGATAATTTACTTTCTCCTATGCAATTGATAAATTAGCAAAAACAACAGTTAATATGTTCTTCCAGAGAGCTGGGTGCTGTTCCTGCTGGTCTGCTGCATGGTCTTGCAAAGCCTTGATGTTGCTTGGAACAAAAAGGCAGCTGAAGCTTTGGATTGGGTCGTTCCTGTGCATCTTATCCCTGTGACAGGAGAAGAGACATCTAGGATGCTCACAAAGGACGAACTCAGCTAAACATGGCTGAACACGGGTTAGAGATGCTATTATGGCCTACCTTGGGGCAATATTTATTCATCCTTTTTGCATCTTCAGATTGGCACCCCACAACTTTTTTTAAGGTGATATGAGCCATCTTGGGTTAGGGGCTCACGAAACTTTTGCAGGACCCTATAGAGGAATTTGTTCAAGATGGCTCAGATTTCGCTTGCAATTGGATGCTTACCTTGTTGCAGGTTCGTAGAGCAACAGCAATGGCAATAGCACTTAGACCTATATATTACTTCATAGTGCTTTACAGCCCTCTTTAATTTAGAGTTAGCATATTGCCTCCAACAATCTGGGTCCTCATTTTACCAACCTCGGAAGGATGGAAGGCTGAGTCAACCTTGAGCCAGTCAGGATCAAACTGCTGGTGGTGAGCAATGAGTTAGCCTGCAAAACTGCTTCCTAACCACTGCGCCACCATGGCTCTTAGACTTAAAGGGAGTCTCCTTCAGTTATATGGGAATGGTTTGAACCTGTTGAACCTGGAGAAGTGGCCAGGATCTTTAGGACTGTGAGCTGAGTCATAAGCTCCTTAGATCCATGTCCCTCTTGACTTGTGATAGTGGCCCACGTAGTGTCATAGGACTGGGTCCTAGAAGTGATGAATTCTTTGAGTAGGGGAGTTGTTCCTTTATTTCTTAAGGAGGCCTTGGTTCAAATCTTCCTCAAGAAGCCATCACTAGATCCCTGAATACTGGGCTGTTTTTGCCCAGCATCCCACCTCTTTTTGGGAAGGCATTGAGAAGGTGGTTATGCAGCAATTTCAGAAGACCCTGATGAAGCAGATTATCTGGATCCTTTTCAGTTAGGTTTCAGAATTGGGTATGGAATAGAAGTCACACTTTTGTGTGATATCTGGTATGGGCAAAATGGTGGTAGTGCATTCATCCATACTTACCTACTTCACCCCTCGACAACTTTCAGTTCATCAAACCCGGTATCCTTCTGGATCAACTCAAGAGGATTAGGGCTGGAGTAGCATGTTGTTGTGCTGGTTCACTTCTTTTTTCTGGGGTTGATTCCAGTTGGTGATGATTAAGGAGGAAGGATCCTATCCTGGCACCTATTGGTGCTCTCTCTTATTGAACATCTACATAAGGTTATTTGCCATAGAGTGAGGTGTCATCAGTATTCTGAGGATTCCTTTGGTCACTTGGGGAAAAGTTGGAGAGAAAGAATTGCTGTGATAAAGAAGTTATTTCTATTCAGTGCTAGAAAAGAACTGTTCTTAGATCTGCTTTGTTAGAGGGAGTTCCCCAAATGTTTATCTAATACTACAGTCTAATGGATTCAGTCCAAAAATGTGTGATAAGGATCTATGTAGCACTAGATTCTTAAAACATTAGAGCATTAGGGAAGAAAAAAAGAATTTTTGAAGAAATACTGTAAATGCCGGCGTATAAGGTGATTTCCGCGAGCGCTGAAATCGGCGCCAAAGACGGGGGTCATCTTATACGCCGAGTCGTCTTATATGCCAGAAATACTGGTAGTTTCCGGCGTATAAGACGACGTTCTAGGAATGCAGCCCGGCGATAAAGACGGGGGTTGTCTTATACGCCGGATCGCCTTGTACGCCGGCATATACGGTAATCAGGGACTCTTGTTAATATTTGAAATGCATTAATTTTCTAATCTTTTTGTTGCCATCTACTTTAAAAAATGCTTTAACATACAATTATAGCCAGAAAAAAACCAAAGAACTTAAAGAAAAGAGAAAAGAGACCCTCAATTTAAAGACTGATCAATTACTTGGGAATCAAGTAATCAGTTCCAAGAACCTTTTTGGGGTACTATTACATAAGTCCAAAGTGTAGTCTTAGTTTGGGAAAGCTCAACAAAAGAATAAGTTTTTGATCCAGATTTTGTTCCTACTACTTTTTTGTTGACAAGAAAGTTTCTGTTGATGGAAAGTGGTGCTAAACCTAAAACTGTATTATTTTGGCATGTTTGACAGACCAAATTATCATACATTTTTATACACATCTTTAGAACAAGACCCTACAATTATTGATGTATCTGGACTGATTTTTGAGACATTCTGTAAGAAAGCATGATCATCTCTGTAAACCAGAAAACATCACTGGCTTGCTACCAATGTCCAATATTTTTCCACTTTAAAATTGAAAATAAGCTAAGTTTTTAAAATCAGAAAAAGGTCCAATTTATAAATAAAAATAGATCTATTGAAATTTATGTTCAGTTCATTCATAATTCTTTACTTTGTACCAGCTTTTTTGTAATCTTAATATTTAAAATGTTCCCAAGTGATTTGTTGTTAAATTTAGAGGTAATAATAATAATAATAATGAAGTTGGAAGGGATTTTGGAGGTTATTTAGTCCAACCCCCTACTCAGGCAGGAAACCCTATACCGTTTCAGACAAATGGCTGTCCAGTCTCTTCTTAAAAACTTCCAGTGTTGGAGCATTCACAATTTCTGGAGGCAGGTTATTCCACTGATTAATTGTTCTAAATGTCAGGAAATTTCTCCTTAGTTCTAGATTATAGCTGTTACCTGTTCTTTTGTTGAAGAGGGGGCACTGGTGGCCACCCCTCCCACTTATCAGTTGGCAGTACTTGTAATTGGCTATTTGTATAACCTTTCCTCAGCTGCCCCACACTAAGAACCTCTCATCAAAATATCCTTATCAACAAAATAAACATGAGACTTCAGGCCAGTAATAAGAATTCATATTGTAGTTTCTAGGCATCAGTCACTTCCTTGGAAACAAGAAGTAGGAAAAGATAGCTTCAAAGGAAGGAGTGATGTTGCTACAAGAACTCAGAGGATAGACTTAATTAATGAATAAAACAATGAGAATGAGAAATACGGACTTAAATCCCAGCAGCAAAAAATGAGTTATGTAAGCACTGCCACACAAACATGCTTGAATACTATTAACAAAACTGCAGGCATTTATTTTTTATGAAACTGAATTTACATTGTTGACAATGAAACCTTAATTTACACTGTTCCACTGAAGTGTTTAAATACCTTGAATTTATAGTATCTGTAAATATTTCCTGATATGTGATTCAACTGAGTTCTTTTAGCGGTTGTTGCAAATAGTGAATGCATTCTTAAGCCACTTACCAAGGAACAAGCCCCATTATAGCATTCCAATCTCTCACTTAGACATAAACAGGATTACACCATAAATTCCTCAGTTATACGGGAAAAACTGTACTATGGTATATAATATTTGGTACTCACTTTAAAGCTTTTCCATTAATTACACCAACCTTTCATTTTGGTACACAAGATGGTCTTTCAATCTTGTTGAGTGTTTCCTGCTTCTTCCTTCATTTTTTGTCTTTAAAAACATGCATTTCGAAGTTGCCCTTTCTAGCTATTTCCTATTAAGGTGTTATATTTCAGTACTTAGTTCTTTTCTAGTTGCCCTTGGATTTTGTTTAGATCTATTGTTGTTAAGTATTTTTCTAGCCCAAAAGACCTAGGATAATCATACCAACGATTTACTAGGATCTTTTACTAATCATTCTATTGTTAATAGGAAGTTCTGTTGGCAGGTGCGATCATTTATCAGAGTTACCACCACTTTCCTCACTATTGCCACACCAAATCGTAATGTTCTGATCAGAATTTTCCACAAACTTTCCTTGGCAAGCAAAACACATATTCAGGTAGTTCTTGACTTATGACCACAAATGAGTCCAAAATTTCCATTGCTAAGCAAGACAGTTGTTAAGTGAATTTTGTCCCATTTTATGATTTTTTTTGCCACAGTTGTTAAGTGTATCACTGCAGTTGTTAAGTCAGTAACAAGGTTATTAAGTGAATCTGGTCTTCCTATTGACTTTGTGTGTCAGAAGGTTGCAACAGGTGATCACATGACCTTGGGACACTGCAACCATCAGAAATATGAGTCAGTTCCCAAGCATCTGAATTTTAATCATGTGACCAGGATGCCGCAATGGTTGTAAGTATGAAAAATGGTCATAAGTCACTTTTTTCAGTGCCGCTGAAACTTTGAACACCACTAAATTAACTTTTGTAAATCAAGGACTACCTGTACTTTCAAACATTACATTCAAACGTTATATGCACACAAGTGCTGCTTGTGTGTTGGAAGCTGCCTGTTTTACAACTGTGAAGTGATTAATACTATTAAAATCAACATGCAGTTAGAGCAGTCAAATTCAAGAACAATATTTTGGCATGACTGGAACATTTCAACCGACTCTCTAGTGTACAACACTATAAAAATTGTCTGTTTTTCTCCTGGGATCTTACAGCAGGCTCCCAAAATTTTGTACTGTACTGTTCACCTCTAACGTTGCATGCTCATTGCTCCCTCTGTCATTCTGAATCATTTGGGCACCAGAACCAGTTGTTCCCATTAGATACATCTCCATTCCATATTTTCTTTGTATAATATGGATTATAAACTAAGTTATAAATAACTATTTTACAGCAGTATCCCATGAGTTATTTTTCATTTAGGAAAAGTTTTAATGAAAAAATATCTCATGAGAATGAACTTTGTCATTTCTTGATAGGGTGAAAGCTCATCAAGATACCTGTCGTAGTCTATGAAAACCTGAATAGAGAAAAAACATTTGGCCATTAGGTAAGGGGAGAAAGGAATATGTTGATTAATATGCAAGAAATAATATGCGTATGTTTCAATTACAAATGGCTTTTTCAGATGATACAATTATTGGTATCATGAGAAGTTATATTATTCTTCAATGAATTATTTAAAAACAGGTTTTAAAAAGTGCTCCCTTTTTGTTTTATATATATCTCAGGGGGGATCTTTCATTGAGCTTTCTTTCATCGACAACCCCCCAAACCTGAATACTCTATGCTTCAGATACACCCACTGTATCCAGATGTACTGGCAGCAACTCAGAACTCTTTGATTTATAATCAAAAGTCCTGAATTTGTTCAAAAGGGCTTATCCATCCTTTCATAGATGCAGCTTTGTGATTTAACCCAAATGATTCAAGTTTGACTTATCTAATGTTTCCAAAACAAAATGGATCTTTTTTAATTCTTAATGCAGTTGCTGGAAAAATACATTCTCTTTCTGTGTATAAATAATGACATGTTCAGCACATGAAGTATACCCATTCCCCAGTTCCTCCAATGTTGTAGCAAAGGTATCAAGAAGATTATAAAATCAACATCCTGTTTAAAAAAAAACAACAAAATATTTTGAATGTACTGTCAATATAAATTTCTTTTGATGTTATGAGATGCCGTTTATATAGCAGCAGGTCCTTTTTCTTCTTTTATCCTGTGTTCAGTCTGATTTAGATTTTCCTTTTCCTTCTTCTATACCTGATCACAACAGAAAAACAGCTTTTGAAATGCTTGTGTTAACAAGAAAGTGAATATTCTTATTTTTCTTCTGCATAAATTGTTTTTAATTTACTGGTCTTCCCAATAGATGAGGAGAGCTGTTAAAATATGGTAAACAAAAATCAGGAGGAGTCTGATAGTTCATTTAGAGTAACACATTTTATTAATACGTTACGTACATGTATACATAATCTGAACTAGACTGTTGTTTCTCTGTGTCATATAATATATGTGGGTATATGCATAATTCTGTATTCATTTATTTATTTTTGTCATATTTATGTAGTGTATATTGGAGCTGGTGATCCTTTGAGAGCTGTATGCAATGGAATTTTATTTTAATGTATGCCGATTAGTGTACATTTTAAGTGACAATAAAGTTATTCTATTCTATTCTATTCTATTCTATTCTATTCTATTCTATTCTATTCTATTCTATTCTACTCTACTCTATAAGGCATAAACTTTTTACAGCTCACTTCATTGAATCAAGTTGTTGATCTGAAAAGTTGCCTACTAAGATTCTGATTTTTGTACAATACGTGAAAATAAGCTTTGGAATGAGGATGAAGGTTTGTTCTCTGAGCTTGTGGTTTGGTTTTTGAATGTTTTGTTATCAGACTAGGTAACATCGTCAGCAGAGCTTAGGGGATGTCATCGTTCTTCTGTTTATAAGGGCTTGAGGTATAGGTGTGTCAAGTGAGAGTCTTGTGATGAGTCAGGTCTGCTGAAGATGTTACCTAGCCTGGTAACAAAACATTCAGAAACCAACCCACAAGCTCGGAGAACAAACCTTCACCCTCACCCTAACTACAGATATTGGCCACTATTGCAAGCTTTGGAATGTTAACAAAATATAAAGCTTCCAACCAAATATAAAATCTAACTATCTATCTATCTATCTATCTATCTATCTATCTATCTATCTATCTATCTATCTATCTATCTATCTATCTATGAAACTGTATCCCTTGGAAACATTTCTAAGTACAATGGTAAGACTTAGAGTGGTTCATTTGTGAATAAGCTATATTTTATTCAGATTTTAAAAATTAACCATGTATTTTTTCTAAAAAGTAAAAAAAATATTTTTTTAATATGATGCAATTCACAAATGATAGGTACGTTTTCTGTTATTGTTTT